ACCAAACAACTGAGTTATTTTTACACACTGGCCAGCATCTGGCCAATCCACCACCTTTCATTGTTTATACTGTTACAAAAAAAAATCATCGGCCCACCGAGCAAATGCCCGGTATGCCCGATGGCCAGTCCAGCTACATGCCATCAGTTAACCCTTCGCGTGCCAGCTGTGGCACGTGTGCCTAGGGTTGATGACCCCTGATTTAGAGGATAGCTGTAGTGTCAGGTTCAAAATCACAGTGAACTTATAACCTGGAACTACGGATGGATCTAAATGAAGGATCCAAGCTGCCTTCACCAAAGAAGGGCCTGGTTCTCCTCACAACCATAGAACCGAATATCCAGTGAATATTTTTGCTTTTACCTGTATTCCTAATATTTATTTATTTTTGACAAAGACAAATGTTATCGTCCTGAGTTCTTATTCATTGTCGGTTTAACACTTATCCAGAAACGGGACTGCGGCATCATCAGGAAACCCTGAAAAGAAGAGACCGTCTGAGACCCAGATGGAGAAAACGACAGTGGAAGAAGGCAACAGCAGGTTGTGCTGGTTACTCTTAACACTCTTATCACATTTAAGTGTAACTGCATGATTGGTTAAAGTGTCACCCCTTTTTGTGAGTATGCAAAATAAACTCTAGTGAAGTAATAACTAGCTTTGGGTGACTGTTTATACTAACTGCAAATGTGTGAATCCACACAATGAACAGCCCCATTTATGTTGAATTTGCTTCATAATAACATGCCCTAGATTTACATATCTACTTAGATAAGATAAAACTACACTTCAGGACAATACAAAGGTAAACGTACAGTTTGAAAGCAGCACAGCTGCTGTAGACAAATCAGCGAAGGTATAAGAGGAAGGGACAGAGCTGACTGATGGAGAGAAGGAAGGTAGTTATGTTGTGTGTGTGTGTGTGTGCAGGAGAACAGGTTCTTTGCAGGTTGTTTCAAGCAGTGCTATATAGGTCTAGTTGGATAGGAAGAGAAATGGTGTGGGAGTAATCTTGAAGTGTATGTTAATAGTGTGGTGGAGGTGAAGAGTGTGTCAGACGGGCTTGTGAATTTGAAGCTAGACAAAGATATGATGCTGAAGATTGTCAATATGTATGTACAGGTTGAATTGCAGTTAGAAAATGGTGAAAAATTTCTGGAGTAAATTTAACTGAGACCTTTTTTTTTATGAAGTAGAAAGATAATAAGGGTATACCACCATCCAGAGGGCTCCATGGGGTCATTATGGCTGATTGAGTTCTGCAGGTCTCTGAAATATGGATTTGAATAGCTTAATTCAACCAATGGACTGTTATACTTCCCATGTCAGGTAGTACAATCAGTGTAGAACTCAGAAAATAACTTGTCATTAAAATCTTTATTTCCTCTCAGTACCAAACCCAAAAGTTAACACAGGTGTCCACATAAAGCTGAAAACTGTTGCAAAAGTTATATGGTGCAGCTTCAAGAAATGTGAATTTGTGAAATAATGTTATTAAAAGCTTAATAATAATAATAATTATTATTATTAGAATTATTATTTTGTGTGTGTGTGTGTGTGTGTGTGTGCGTGAGATAATATCCTGCGCTTGACTGCTATATTTTCCTATAGTCTAACGAACCCTCTTTCTAATGAAATGATAAAATCATAGAAAATGTATCATCTTTCAAACGATGTTGCTACCTTGAAATTGTACCAAATAGTAGGAATGACACCAGACATATGGGAAGTACAGCAGTGTATGAATTTCAGTACCCAAATATTATTTTTGTTGTTGATTGTGAATACCAATATATCATTTACTTAAACACTGAAATCCTAACTGTAATTAATTAAATATTGTCTTACACGAATGACTACTGTCATATAGATGAGAGAGAAAGAGACTGTTGAATGAAATATGTCAACAGAGACAAAAGGAGTTGTTGTGGATAGGCGTAGCTTTGGATCACGTGGTGTCGGTAATAGTAATAGTGATTGCTATATCACCTGTTCACGGCCCGAGGGAATTTTTGTGAATGAGTGGGTGATGGGGGAAGTCGACTTTTGCTGACCGCTCAAGCTTAGAATGTTTTTGATCAC